ACCTGGACACAGAGCCATTGATGACCACCCTCTGTCTGCGGCCTTTCAACCAGGTTTTTATCCATCGAGTGATCCACCCATCAAATCCACATCCCTCCAGTTTGGAGTTAAGGATGTGGTGGGGGACCATGTTAAAGGCCTTGCTCAAGTCCAGGTAAATGACATCGGTCGCCCTTCCCTTGTCCATTGATGCCATCACTCCATCATAAAAGGCCACCAGATTGGTCAAGCATGACCTTCCTCTGGTGAAGCCATGCTGGCTGTCACGGATCACACGCCCTTTCCTCATGTGATCAAGCATGTCATCCAGGATGATCTGTTCCATGATCTTCCCAGGCACAGAGGTACGACTCACCGACCTGTTGTTCCCGGGATCCTCCCTGCTCCCTTTCTTGTAAATGGGAGTGACGTGACCCTTCCTCCAGTCATCCGGGACCACACCTGACAGCCACGACTTCTCAAATATGATGGAGAGCGGCCTTTTGGCTAAGATCAAGTGTAGTGTGTAGAATTCATTGTTTAGATTGAGGTGGGCACCAATTATCAAAGACCTTATTTCAGCACCAATTAAAATCTTTATATGCATAAGAACACAAAATCCTAAATTTCAACATCTAAATTGATTGCCCAGTTAATTGTCCTGCATAAAAACCTTCTATAATACTTTCTGTTTTATTGCTTATTCACTTCTGAAATCATACGAGCTATACTTGTTGCCATACCTGTGAAATACAAAGTGAGATGTATATTCCATAATTATTAGTGTTCTCTGATGAATTGCTGTTATCAGAAGATAAGGATGCATTTCCTTTCCCAACTTCATGCTTACAGGGCAAGGCATGCATTTACATTGAGAATGAAGTTCAGAAACATTTATTCCACCTTTTCACTGAGTATTGTGCATGGCATATTCTTTTAATGATCCCAAGTTTTTGTCATTATTACAGATATTATGAATAAGAAACCACAGTTGGCCTGGAAGCTCTATCTGAAGATGGAGACCTCAGGGGAGTCCTTTAACCTATTGCAGCTCATTGCAAATGATTGCTACAAAGTGAGTCTTCTTTTAAAAAACAAAACAAAAAAAAAGTTGGATCAGAGCTTTTCCATGATTTTGCATCTGGATGCTTTGGAATTTAGTGTACAGCAATTAGGCAATTGCATTAACAGCCTTTATTATTATTATTATTAATTCTTCTCATCTTTGTCATTAGTATTGAATTTCCACTTATAATAGGGGTATGGTTATTAATGTAGATAAATTGGCAAGGCTTGGTCAGCATTTTAACCTATGGGTCTTCTTGGTAGATAATCCAGTAACTAAAATACCAACAAACTACTACATGATCTATTGATAACAGTAGTTTATTCCACACTTTCTAGTTCATAAAATGCTATGTTAGTAGTGAAGAGAACATGGGAAGCTGATTACAATTCTGTCTCAATTCCTAATATCTAATTCTTCAGATGGTGTTTCTACACAAGGAGACTTAGCTCGGATTCAGGTTTGATCCTGTTCTGCAAAATGTGTAATAGAAAATGTGAGCTTTGTCTGTAGGATAAATGTAGAGATGTAAAGACCTGCTGGTTTGAGAGGGTTGTAAGTGGTACTATAGAAGAAAGAAAAAATGATCTGTGATTGGAAAACAGAATAGTTCACTGCTTTAAGGCAGATGTGAGAAAAGCAAAACAGATGCAATTCTTGAGGAATTGGTTCAATGAAGACTCCTAATTTAAGTGAGTGAACAAGAGTTAGCTGCTATCAGTGTAGGCTTATTAGAAATACAGTGACCAAACTTGCCGTCATAGAGGACAGTGAACTGAGTCTTGTTGAAAACCTCTCAAAAATTCTCAGTTCAGCCAAGCTTTCCAAAAAGCAACAATACCTGCATACTCTCTATAACATTCTTTTTTGCAGTTTTGTTTCATCTGACAAAGTAACGTTTCTCAAAATCCTAACTGTAAATCAGAAAATCTACCTTGTGATCTTGAAAGCATTCCTCTAAAATGAAAAGGATCCTCTCTTAACACATCTTTTAAGTATTTCATTCGCCATAGAATGGCTTAGATAGAAGAGACCGTAAAGATTATCTTATTCCAACCTAGCTGTGCTAGTTCTGGGCAGGCTGCTACCCACCAGCTCAGGCTGCCCAGGACACCATCCAGCCTGGCCTTGAATGCTTCCAGGGATGGGACACCCTCAGCTTCTCTGGGCAGCCTGTGCCAGTGACTCCCCACTCTCTGAGTAAAGAATTTCTGCCTAACTCCTAACCTAAATCTCCCCTCTTTTAGTTAAAAGCCATTCGCCCTGTCCTATTGCTATCAGACCATGTAAAAAGTCAGTCTCCCTCCTGCTTCTAAGTTCCCCTCAAGTACTGAAAAGCCACAGTGAGGTGTCCATGGATCTTTCTCTTCTCCAGGCTAAACAAGCCATCTTCCTCAACCTTTCTTCATAAGAGAGATGTTCCAACCTTCTGAGCATCAGCACTTTGCATTTGGCCTTGTGGTATGGGACCTTGTCAGAGACCAAGACAGGGATACATCAGTTCCCTTCTTTTGTCTACCAGTGCTGTCACTCCGTCGTAGAAGGCCACCAGATTGGTCAGGCACAATCTGCTCTTTTTTGCTCAAACAGGTGGCTGTCACCTCTGGTATCTCCCCTGGCTGCAATTTATCAAAGCAAGTTGACAATCATATCTTACGTAAAATTTGTCTCTAGGCCTTATTGAGTCTCACTTTTATCAGTTGATTATTTCTACTAAATTCTTCTCAAAACCATATTGTGTACTATAGGAGAGGCAGCTCCATGTTTTGGATTTACCTAGAGCTTCTAAAAATTGCCTAAATTTTTTCAGGGTATTTATGGCTACGTATGGCCACAAATGACCAAGGAATTTCATTTCAAAGGCTATGTAATTAATGCAGTATAACTTGTCTTTCTATAATATTAGCTGTGTCCACTTCTCCCACTAATTGGCAATTGCAATATATTGTTGAATTTATGTAACGTTCTCCAGTTATTTCTGAAATATCATATTATACTGGAAGTTGGCCTGCAAACAGCATCATAGCTGTAACTTAAGCAGTCATGCAAGGCTTCATTCAACGGAATCCTGAAAGAATATGGTTTAGCAAGGCTAACAGCTATGTGAGACTAGATATAGCTAGACGCCCGACTGCTGCCTGTTTTGATAGCAATTGCTTGAGGAATCTAGCATGCAAGACTTCTGGCTAATTTCTAGCTTATTTTTCATGGAATATAACATTTTATCCATTCATATAGGAAGCAACACAGAATTTGGAAGAATTGAAGCAATTCTTGCTTTTATGTGAGGTAGAAATAGGATTTTAAATTGGTATCGGCCTAATGGAACTACATCAGATGCCACTTCAGAGAGATCACTATTCAGTGTATTCTGAGCTGAGATGTCTGTTTATACTCACTATCTTTATTCCCATTCATTTAAGTGCTTGCCAGTCACCTGTGGTTAACATTACCATACGCCTGAAGAAGAGGGAATTATTACTCATTCTGCAGTACCTATACTTCTCTAAGTATTCCAATGTAACTTCCAGCCACCAAGGATGGGAGGTTGTACTCTGTTTATCTTCCATGTTCTCCTCTTGGAAGATGCTAGCCACAAACAACATTGCTACTCTGGCTTGCTAAACTGAAAAATATTCACAGTCATAGATAAGGCTCAAATGAGTTACAATGACTTGACAAGCTGCAATGACTGCAATCGCTCCTTTATTATTGACTTATAAATCAACTTGCTTCTTGTTCCAACTTACAAGTAGAGAGTCTAAGGCAGAAAAAATAGGCTACATAGTCAGTTTTCCTATGCTTAAGAAAATTTTCTTGTATAGAATCATCAAACCTTAATTCATACTGTATTGTAACAGTGAAATGTAAAATTTAGCTCTGAGTTTAACCCAAAACACATATAGATCCACCTCTGTGACCATCTCTGTGTGAGAAAAACAGGTTGTGTTTTAAAATATTAGGACTATTTTGGACTAGTGGTGGTTGGACTTGATTAATTTAGAGGTCTTTTTCAATCTTAATGATTCTGTTATTCTAATTTGAGTTGATGTTGTATCAAGGACTTTGGTACAGTAGATATTACTATATATAGGGCAACTTATACTTTAAAGTTAATGCTGATTTGGAAGAGAAAAGTAAAAGTGGGTAAGAAGTTCTGTTAGCTTTTGTTAAATGTATATGATCGAAAGAATAACAGTGCTGATCATAGCCAATTAATAGAAGTTCACAGTACAATTTGTCTATATTTTCAAAGACATGTAGCAGTAATGTTAATACCATCAATTTCCGTATATACAACTGAAATGTACCTGTTCTGTCACTTGCTGCCAAAAGAAAAATGGAAGAATAGTACATTGCTTCTATGGCTTACTGTTGATTTCAGAAAGCTGAACTCAAAAGTTTTAAATCTCTTCTGAAAAATGGTCATATAGTCAGGAATATGCAGTGATTCTCTTCTTGTGCAGATGCGTCAGTTTTACTATGCAGCCAAAGCATTTGATGTCCTGGAGAGACTGGACAGTAATCCTGAATACTGGGAAGGCAAGAGAGGTGCTTGTGTTGGTGTCTTTCAAATGATCTTAGCTGGCCGAGAAGCAAAGTAAGTGTTCTTTTTTTTTTTTTGCAATTTTCCTGTTTCCAATTAGCTATAAGCTAAAATCTTAATCTTAGTTTTGGGAGCAGTTATTTATCCCAAATACTTACTGACCTGTTGGAGAATAGAAACTCTGGCCAGTCGCTCCATATACCATATACAGTGTTCAATTTGAATTGCATCTTCCACAACAACAGTTAGAAAATATGTGGTAGAGAATGTCTTATCAGTGGATGCCTAATTGCAGGCAACCAAAGTATACTGGTCATTATAATAGTAAGAGCTAAGTTATAAATGTAATATATTTGTGTCCTGAGAGAAAAGTCCTCATTTTGTGTTGATGGCCTAAGAATGGAAAACTGTCCCATGACAGTTTAAGGTTCATAGAACAGAAATAAGAGAGCAGTTACTCAGCACCTGAGGAAGGATGTGGTTTCTCTAAACAATGACTAAGTGAGAGACTGCTAAAATTTGCTAAACTTTACTTTCTGAAAACTGACAGTCAAAGATACTAATTTGATGAAAGCTTAAAGGAAACAATCTGTGTTACTGATGATTTTGCTTTTGGTCCATTTCACTGAATGGAAGAAAGAGAGAGAGCAGTGAGGCTGTACTTAAGAACTGTTCCCATGTGAATATTCTGCAGTGTTGCCAGATGGCCATTCTCCCCTGGCCAAAGTTGCCATTTTGTACATGACTGGAAGGTGTGTATCTTGGCTTCTACAATTCCTTGTATTTCCTTCTGTGCTGGAATAATCTCATTAACCAGTACACCATTCAGGTGTCCTTTTGGCAAGTGCTGCAATAGATGCAGGAGAATATACAGAGCTTGCCTGTTTAACTTTATGCACACAAGTTCTTGTTGTAAAGTAGCTAGCAAACTGCAAACTGCAGTTTCATACCAGTTTGTCCTATTGGTAATGTTTGTTTCCATGCTATTTACATATTAGTAAGTTGTAAGGTGCTTTGGTAGCATTAAACTAGATGTTGCCATACTCAGACTAGCAAGTAAGTAGCATTAAAGAAAAATGCTTTGTTTTCTTCTGGAGAACTATTTTCTAAGAGTAGGGATTTATATATGAAAAATCTCTCCCTGTTGCAACTGCATACAAGACTTTGTTTTTTTTTCCCTTAGTATCTAAACTATTGTGCATTTTTGCCTGTTTCTCTGCAGATAAATGGATCTCTCTGCCTACAAACCACCTTATACAAAATAGTTTGGACATGAGTGCTTGTTTATTTTATCAGTTTATTCTTACCCGCATTCAAATTTTTGCTTTTCACCTTTGTAGAGAGACTCTGCGGGAAGTACTGCATCTCCTGAGAAGCACTGGTAATTCTCAAGTGGAATACATTATCCGCATCATGAAAAAGTGGGCCAAAGAGAACCGAGTCCCTGTCTAAGCCAGTGTCACAAAATGAGCAGGGTCAGTTACTGTTTTCTGTGTGACTGTAATACGTGGGGTTTGGTTTCTTCCATGCATTCTGAGTATTTCCTTCTTTGCAGGACTTTCAGACGTGAAGCAGGTTGACCAAGCTGAGCAACAGTGTCATTCAATGAGACTGCGAAACAGCCAGCAATTTTGGGTTTTATTTTGTTTGGTTTTGTGGGTTTTTTTTGTTTGTTTTGTTTTGTTTTGTTTGTTTTTGTTCATTAAAGCATTATTGATATTTTTTTCTATGTAAAGAGTTCTATATACTACCTGCTTAGGGTAAAAATACAAACTACATTCTGAACACTGTCCTTTTCTGGATAAATCGTCTCTTTTACTTATATCTGAAAGAGCTGTTATCTCTCTTAACACTAATTCTGAAGATGAAGGTTAATCAGTCCCAAACGCTGAGATTCAGATTGGCTTATTTGTTCTCTAGGTTAGTAACAAAGCATGATGATAGCATCAATTTCAGTGCATGAAGGTTTGACTGACCTGAGTGTTTAATCTTGCTTTGTTGATGTTCAAAAGAACCAGAGCTGAATCTTCTGAATAATTTTCTTCAGCACTTACTACCCTAGTTGCAAATAAATTTACTATGCTTTTGAGGTAAGTACTGTAATGTGTTCTGAGGAGAACAGTTCAGGACACATGATTCTAAAAGAAGACAATAGTTGTAACACAAAAATATATTATATGGTTTGCAGTGAAAAACATTTGTATATTATTTGTAAAAGTAAAATTTACAATTTGTAAATGTGTAAAATACTTCTGAAGTATTTTTGTATCTTTTTTTTGGAGGGAGGGGAGTCTGGATGCATCTCTGTGCTTTGATTAAAGCTCTTAATTGAATCTACAGTTGAATGTTGGTCTGTGTCGCTTCATGCTGAAGGAATTCAAATAGTATATTCATTTAGCTGTGGAAAAGGATAGATCTATGTCTGTTTGTTAAATGTATGTTCAGTAGTCATTCAAAGGCAAGCCAGTGGCCTCGGCCCTGATTTCGAAGCTGAAAATTAGGAGGCTGGGTTTCTATGAAACATACATGGTTCTTGGCCATATAACATCAGTGTCTTTTACCACTTAAAGCAAAAACTGTGGTTATCATCATTCAGGTATCTGGAAATACACTGATCATTGTGGTTATTTGCATTTACTTGGAATCTAGAGAATAGATAAGCAATAATAGAGGCTTTCACAAGGGCTGTGGCAACAATACACTGATCAAAAGAGAAGGTGTGAAAAGAGCATGAAGTATTTTCCCTGAAAGCAGTTACAAAACACATTTCACTTGGAAAAGGCATTTTTGTCTTCCCTCCTGATTTAATTAACAGATCAGGAACACTACTTTAAGTCTTGTACAAAACTTCAAAAAATCATGTTGGTGGCTTTGTAACAGATGTTAAATGCATCTAATTAATCCCTTTATTGAAGGTTAACCTGCAGGAGAGCTGAAGAGCATCCAAATCCATTGCAGACCATTTTACGTGTTGGATGAAACTTGTGGAGGAAGTGCGTTGGCATTGTTGCATATGGGCTCAGGGACTCATTTAAAATTCTCTGATCAGTGGAGAAGTTTTTGAAAATGTTGCCTTTGTTCACTATAGTTATAAAGTCATATTTAATATGCTAAATAATGTGTTTTTTAGCACAGTACATTTTATTGACTGATAATATTTATCATTTAAGTTGTAAGGAACTGGGGACTGCAGGCTTTTGCCTTGTGTGGTGACAAAATAGGACAATACATTAAGGTATTGTCCTAGCACTTAAAAGTACTAGTAATGGAACAGAAATGTAGGTACTACTAAAATGCAGAAGAAATGCTGAAATATTGATGTTTTGTTTACCAAAGAAGTATGTTCAAGAACAAAAATGTGATAGAAGTTGCCTCAGTTGATACAGAAAGAGAATGGAAAACTTCTAAAGCTGTTTCTCTGGTAGTCAGCAGAACTTGATCTCTGCCCAGAGAGAACTTCCCTGAACTGTAGGAATTTAAGGAGTCACTAAATAGGAAAGCTGGGAGCAAAGGGAGATGTGCAAAACAACAAACACCACGTGGCCCTGTGCTCATTGCCTCCCAAGTGGGATAACTGGAAACAAAATAGAACTTGTGAGATGAGATAAAAGCTATTTACTAGGACAGAAAAGGAAAATGGAAACAAAAATGTAATTATAACAATATATATATATGTACAAGTTTTATATATATATATATATAGCCACAGTGCAATTACTCTCTACCTGAAAACCCACACCTAGCAACAACACAACTACCCACCAACCAACTCCCCACTGACTGACGCCCAGCAACCCTCTATAACTACACTGCAGTAATAAAAAGCACAGCTGTCCTCCCCTGTAGAATACTTGGATGTTACTGGCGTAAGTGTTGAGGTATTATCAAGCTTATGATCATAATCTTTATTTATTAGGAATGGGTCAGCGCCCAACTGAAAGCAGTTGCAATGTTTTGTTTTTCTCTGTTGTTAATGCTATGATTGCTAATGCTGTACCTTCTGCCTGCTCTCTATATCATATTTTCCATAATGGGATGGTTACCGAGAGTACAAAGAAATAGCTGTATTTTCCACATTCTTCCTTGTAATTCTAATGATGCAACCATTTCTTTTTGACTTAGTCACTCTTCAGCTACTTTATCTGAAATCTGAAAACAGCTGTTTTCAATTTAATGTTCACTTGTTACTGACCCATTAAACTTACCAGTTTCCCTGCCTATGCACACGCATTCTTCACTGCTTGCTAGTTCTATATAGGTCCCTGAGCTGCTGCTGGGTTATATCACAACATCCTCATGGTAGTAAATTTCATCTGCTAATCCTTGTATTGAATCCCATAACATGACTTTCCATGAAAGTATCTGCCAGCAATGTTGCTAAGAACTAACCTTTGTACAAGTTTTTGTACTTGTGTATCCTTGAATATAGCAAATACGTATTTTCATCTAATTCAGGATAACCACCCTTGAAACTGCTAAAGTGACTGAGTGGAGGAACTCTTAATCTCAGTGCAATGACTAAAAAAGATAGAAGCGTCTTGAGAAAACACATAGTGAGCATGTCTAGCTTGCCTGCAGGTAGGGAGATCAGCCCTGTCTTTAACTGACCAATTGTAGGCTGGAGGCTGTATAGGGGTGGTGGTCAAGTGATTAAAAAAATATATTAAAATAATTTTTAAGGCTATTTTCCAGCCTGGAAAACTGGCAGTTTGTCAACTTTTTTTTTTTTTTTTTAAGTGGTTTCGGTGCACTTTTTTTAAGTGGTGTTGTGGCACTTACGTTATCACTGGATAAGATATTAAATATGTTCTTTCATACTGCTGTTCACTATTCTCCTAAATTGTACTCAAAAACTGTATTCACACTTTTTTGCCATATTAGTCTTCTCCACTCACTTAGGGTATGCCTTGCTGATAGTGTATTACTGTATTCTTTTAAATGAGTGACATGACATTAGTAATGCCTGAATTGCTTTTGTATAGCTGCTGCACAGCTAAACTTGTAAAAGATTCATGCCATTAGTCACGTATCCTCCCATTCATTCTTTGTTACACTGATTTTACAGCATTCTAGAAAAGCTGATAGATACCGAGTCCCATTGGTTAAGGCTGCATGAAGAATTTGAAAGATATTATCATTTTCTTTGCACTCAACCACAAAAAAGTCTTCCTTCTGAGTTTTGTAGGTACTAAAGTTTTGTTTCCATTTTGAACAGGTAAAGCAGGTATTTGACATCTTTGGGCAATGGTCAGATCCTAAATTCCCTATAGGACTTACTTAATTGTTGAATTATACTACCATCTATTTATGGATTCAAAAATAAAAGTCTGTCTTTTGTAAAAGCTTTGGCTTTTGAGAAAACTCAGTTTATTCTTCAAGTAAAAAGAGAACTTCTGCTTCAGATCATATTTGTACACTACTGTGCCTAGCTGTTCCACATTATTCTTCAAGATAATTAAATATAACAAATATAGTGAAATAAGTAATGGTCTTTAAAATGCTTTTACAACTAACTCTTCAAGAACTGGAACATAGCATATTTCCTGTCAAAATATTGTACAGGATAGATTGAGCACTTCTCAGATACAGCTAAATCTTAACTGAAAAGTGGCATAGTGCCTATGTCATCATCTCCAAGCCGAACTTGTATGGATCTAGGAGTTTTATGCCTGTTTTGGAGTCCTCAAACCACACCTAAGCTGCCCCGTAACCACAGAAGAGTGATGAGCCTCAGACCTCATCATCTGTTCCTTGATCACAGTAAGCAACTTTCAAGTGGTCAATTCTGTGAAAAACCACACACAAGAATGCAAAATTACACGGTATGCAATAACATTCTAATAATACATGTAATAACGTAGAGATAGCTTAAGTCATCCAGAAAAGAAGCATGCTTCAGTTCCAATAGTCACATTCCACATTGTAATGCTACAGCTCTGAATTTCTTAGCTGATTTTTTGTTTCTTAAGAACAGTGGGATCATTATGCACGTCTGCTTCAAAGCTGCTGGTAATCTTCTTGCCTCTCACCAGCGGGTGTACACTCAGGTTGAGGCCATTACGTGGTTAGCCTTTATGTGATGAAGCACAATGTCTTTTTCAAGCCAGTCAAATAATTTATTTAACATGACTTAAATATTTCTCATTAATATCAATCTATATGTGATAGCTTTTTCAAAGAAAACTTCAGAAAAATTAAATTACAAAATCTGTTATACCAGGTCTTAAACTGTCAGGCATATTCCTGTTATTGATGGTTATCATAGTAATAGTATTCTATAAGTTAAATCATACTTTTGTGTGACTCATTCATGAGGTCACAAGTTCTGAACTTGAGTCATTACTAAACAGACTGGGAATAATTTAGTTATATAAAAACTATCGTGGTTTTCCCCACTACTTAAAGTCAGAAGAGCTGTTTTCAGATCAGAGCAAAACCATTTTCAAGGCCAGTTTTACATGATTTTGCACACAATTCAACTAGCTGTTCTCAAACAGGTCCTGCTGCCGCATCCACTTTTCATTTCTGCATGTTCTCCTTCCCTATCAAGTGTTTTCCCTTTCCGTTGAGCCGCTACCATGTGACTTACAGCATAGTCATAAAGCTTTCCACGTATCTCCTCCTCCCCTCACCCCACCTCTGAACACTGCTTGCCTTGCCCTACTTCCAGGGAACATTCAACGTTTGTTCTGATTTGTGAAATATGCTAAGTCCTATGGATAACTCCAAATGAGTATGACACTGAGAAGTAACTTTAAAATCTCTTAAAACCATGACAAAGTAGTCAGATAAGTACTCAGCGTAAGTTACATCTGACTGTATAATTACTTATCAGCGGAAGGAGGAATACTGTTAAGGCCAGGAAAATGACGTTTGAAATGTAGCTTGTTTTCACAAGCATTTCTGGTATGTAGCTGCTGCTCTGATCTTAAACTTCTCACTGCTATTGCCGTTGTCCTAATATTCTAAAGAGTCCTTAAATTTCACACATCTTCATGAAATACAGCTTGAGGTGGTAAGAAAACAGACTTTAATAAAATTCCATTTGTCCGTTTAAATTATTCATGTATGGAAAATCACTTTTCACAAGTAATTTTTCAGATGCTATTTTTAATGCTGTGGCAACTCAAAAGCAGCTTTGTGTTGAATCTGCAAGCTTGGTATGTTGTTAATTCCCGCGGATGAATATGTGCTTTGCTTTTTGAATGCAATTTGGCTTGGAAATAAAATCATGGAAGTATGAAAATGCTGAACCATGCATGCAAAGAATACTTCTTGTATGAATGTTAAAAATGTGGTAATTTGTTTATGCAATCATCCTCAGCTGTCTGCAATAATGTGCACTTATTTAGATGTAGAATTTGATGTAAGGCAAAGCAGTTTCCAAAGTGCTGAGAGGCACCAAAAGAGGTGGTGAGGATGTTGGAAATTTTGTAAAATCAGTCTGAAAGCCAAAGAAGAAACTAGAGAAGAAAAAAATCCTCCACGGTCACAGCCAAATATTACTGCTTATGTCAAACAATTCCTAGAAGGTTGCTTTGTGATCTACAGAGAATGTCATTCTGTTTTTTGGGAGAGTGAACTCTGATTGATAGCTGTCTCCTATACATGGACAATACTTTTAAAACAACGTTTTACAATATTTATATATTACAGTGTTTTATAAATGAAACATTTTCTGATAATAAAATATTAATATTTCACGAAAACAGGAAAATGCAACGCAGGTGAGTGGGCAAGATCAGGCTGCCTGTGGTCTGACTGGGTCCACTTCTGTGGGCACTGTGAGGGTATTTGTCTCATCCAAGGTCAGCTCTTGGAAGAGCAAATCTATGGCACATTAGCTTTCCTATTGCTGGGAATTATTTCCAGAGCCTTTTACTTCATTAAACAGTATTACTGCTGCTTTGAGAGTAAAACCACCATTCCAGCTGAGAATTCTATGAAAAGCCAATTTTTCTTATTCGCTTTACAGGTGGGTGCTGTAGCTACTTAAAATAGTGACTCATAGATACTTGTGTGTTTTTAATTACTACTGAAAGAACAGAATCAGCAGACAATAACAGAAGGTAAAACAATTACCTGACTCCAGAGTTTCAGCCAGGCTGGTAATCTTCCGCTGCCTCCAGGGGGGCTGGCCTGATGGAACAGGCTTTTCACTGCAGATAAGTATCCCATTCAGCAAGCATCTTTAACTCGGGGGGTGGAAGGGTGGGAGGGGGGGGGAGGATGAGACAACTCTGAGCGCATAATCCCTCTCAATCTCAGTAAATATGTGGGTGTTTTTACACCGTGAAATGAGCAGGTATGAATCATGAAAGACTTACTGCTATTAAGGAAATCGTTCTAAAAGCAGTGTATTTTTTAAAGATGAAAGGTGTTTGCTTGTTCTAGCAAGGAGTTTTAACAGCAGAAGCAGAAACAATTATTAACTATTACATTAAAAAAATAAGAACATTTCTCTTGTTACATCTTATAATGCTAGCTAGAATTGACTCTGCTACTGTTATCTGAGGAAAAAAAATTACCAGCTTTTGCTTGGTAAAGATACACTTAAAAGCTGATGCTTAACA